CTCATAAGCCAAGTTGTTTCCTTCTGTGTTCCTCCCTGTGTGTCCTAGGATAAAGAGGGGATGGGCCTGGTTCTTCCTCAGACTGTCCAGCCGGCCTCTGCCCTTCCCCTCCTCCACAACCTCCGGAGCCACACCTCCACTCCCTGTTGGCTGTTCCTCCTCTCCCTCAGGGGAATCCAACTCTACCAAGGGCATGACACATATCTATTGTCATATTACATGCTGCAAACACAGGTTTAAAAGTTCTTTAAATCACATACATAGCCAAAAATGTATGGTTCCAATCTGGAGAAAGTTAAGGTTTGGTTCAAATGAAGTAATTTTGCAATAAAACCTTTAGTTTTAAATACAATTAAATTGCCAGAAATGAGAATTGCAGTCACACAAGACACTAAATTACAAATCAGTAACTTGTATAGTATCATAAAACTATTAACATGTTTGTTCTTTACCATTCTTGCTTTGGATGAACTTTTTAAATGATTCCCAGCTCTCACTCTCTTGGAATAGTAAGTAATCTAAATGGTCAACCATCCATTAAATTCAACCTGATTCTATCTTGCCTTTCAACTCTCATAACTCCCAAACATAATCTAGCTGTCACCAAAGCACCATATGATTCCATTACTATGTGACAAGTAGGCAATCAAAATCATTTAATGTAAGACAATTGTCCTGTAATATTTATTTTCAATGTTAATACTTAACATTACCTACCACTCACAGGAATAATCTCACATCTCCATTTCCCTAGTTCAGAGTCCAAGAGCATCAGTATTAACCTATACCCCAAAAATGCTGTACGGTACCATAATTCTAGGTAGTTAACATGGGGAAAAATTAAAGTTTATTTAACCAGTATTTCCTCTAAATAATGTAGACTAAGGAACTGTACATTAATCAGATATTTTTTTTACCTCTCTGCAGATGCCCAAGATTGTTTTATTACCATTTCTCTTATCTTTATATTAAAATAGCAACATCCTACAAATGTTTAAAAAGGCTTCCTTCTCCATCTCCATATACAATGGGGCAAGAGAAGTCATATTTCATAAGCTAAGCTGTAGAGAATTCTCTCTGCTCATCAGCTATTCTGATACACTGCAGTTTAATACAGTCTACACTTTCTCACCAAAGCAAATATAGATGAACCCAAAAGGCAGCACCCGGAGAAGAAAAAGAAGAAAAAACCACGAACATGCAATGATGTTCACAAAAAAGCTTCTTGCTTCCGTGATGGTGTAGACTCAAGACAGATTTTTACAGGTTTTTTTCCATTGTTAAAAGCTTCCTGATTTATCCACCACCCTTTGTAACTCTCTCGCTTACCCTGTGCAATTCTTCCCCCACTGTTTTGGTAATGTTTTTTTATATATATCTATATTTATATAAAATTTATATATAAATTTTCCTGATTTTGGCTTGTCCCGCCAATGTGACCTTATCTGCCAGCCTGACATTTACTGCTTAACTCTTAAGCTCATATGTGAATATATAAAAGTTAAAGATAAGCCGCGATTATTAGGCGGGCTCTCCCGCTGCCCTATTGTTAAGGTTCCGAACCAATTGCCTCAGGAGCGACCCAAGTATGGAGAGGCTACCCCAGGACAACCCAGGGGCGCCAGAAAAGAAGAGCCTTTTTGTGGGGGGAAAAGGGACGACCTGCTGCTTTCAAGGAAAGAGTCCAAAGCGAGATCAGCCGGTACTGGGAGTAACCGGAAGCAGGGGTGTCACTCACTAGTGCCAGGCCTGGAAAGCAGCAGCAGAAACACGGTCATCCCCCAAGCCGCCAGGTGGGCCAGGGCCCCGCAGCCGCGCCGCAGCCAAACGCGGCAGCGGGCGGGGGCGTCCGACATGACGAAATCTTCCACTCCCCCCGCCCCAGGCCTTCTCCTCCGGCGTTTATATTCGAAGGGAAGGGAAGGGAAGGGCTGGGTGTGGTTTGCACTTTGCAGCCGGCTGCTACGCACAAGCACCTGTTGGGCGGGACGTCGCCCGGGAGAAAAGGCTAGGTGGGGGCTTCCCGGGCGAGGCCAGGTGAGAGATGCTGCTGGGCAGCTTTCGTTGCATTCCGCTTCCAGTCTCTTCTTACGGGACGACCCACAAAGCGTCTTGCCGCCTTTTTAAGGATACGCGTGGTTTGTTTGGAAATGACCAGGCCCGAGTAATCTTGCGGCCCTAATGTGTGGAGAAATGATCCAGAACGAGGGAGGAAACTGGAACGCAATGCCCGCTACCGCCTCACCCAGGCTAATTCTCAGGACTCACTTGCCCAGGGGTCTCCAACTTTGGCAACTTTAAGACCTGTGGACTTTGCTGGGAGTTGAAGTCCACAAAGTCTTAAAGTTGCCAAGGTTGGAGACCCTTGTAGTTGCCCCCAGTTAAGCCAACTTACTGAGATCGGTAAGTTACAAGTGTCATGTTGGGCTAAAATAGGATGAGTTGGTTTGAGTTGCACCTGGTGTTTAAAATACATTGAAGAGGGCAAGTGTCAATCAGATGACTGGTAAACTATCAACTTAAGGTAGTTCTCGATTTACCACATTTCATTTGGTGACTGTTGGAAGTTACAATAGCACTGACTTTATATGACCTTTTTTCACATTTATGACTATTGCAGCATTCCTGTGGTCACAGGAATTGACTCATTTGCCATGGTTGCAGTGCCCTGGGGTCATGTGATCACTTTGTGCAACCTTCTGACAAGCAAGGTCAATGGGGAAACCAGATTTACTTAACAACCAATTTGCTAATTTAACAACTGCATTGATTCACTTAACGGTGGCAAGAAAGGTTGTAAAATGGGACATTGCTCACTTAATAAATGTCTCACTTAGCCACAGAAATTTTCATTTCAATTGCAGTTGTAAGTCAAGGACTACCTGTATAGCGCAATAACATTCCATGAATCCAGCCTACCATGACTTGGAGTTAAGGTGAGCATCATTCTCTCTTTAATATCATCCATTCTAACATCTCCTCTCTTCACCTTTTAAGGAAGATGTTGCAGATTCCAAGAATTGGGATTTTTCTGGAGTTTCTTACATGATACTTCTAAATGTCAGTTTCATAATTTTCCAGGGTATGAGGTCAACCTCCAGATGTATATCTATATATTTTCTTCTCTTCCCTCAACTTCATGATATGGATAAAGGTACATGGAAAGCATCCATCTGTATTATTCCTGCTGTTTTGAAAACACTGGGTCACTTCTCTGTGTCTGAGAAGCAGTGAAGCAGCAGGGTGTACTGAAAAGATCAGTTCTGCCATTACAAATGACCAAGTGAGGCTTATCTAACTTTTTACCCTGAAATTCAGTGAAACAAGACAGAACTCACGTTATTGGTTAAATGGCCATTTGTATATACTACTGCATAATAATTATGTATACTCAGCGTTTCTGGGTTCTATTCCTTCAAGTCACACTGCTAACACTGTCAGGTACCTTCCACAACTTCTGAAAACTGAGGTAATTTCTTGCTCCTGAAATTTAGCATCTCTATTCATCCATCTTTCTCTACGAATGCCAGTTGCCTCATCTCTTAATCAGAGATCTTTGCTGATATTTAAGCTGTCTTCAGTATCTAGAACTTTAAGCAGTAAGCAAGTGCTTCTTTAACCCTGGGCTTCTCAGGCGCAAACCCCAATTAATTAATTAAAGTTTGATAAGATATTCGTTCCTCAAATTCTTAACATGTTTTCTGCAGCTCAAGAATTGGACATAGAGTGAAAAATCTCTTGTTGCTGGGTTAAGCCATTGTCACTGTAATGTTTTGATCCAGCTCTCTTGTTGCTAAGCTACAGGTATGCATAAAAAAGAAGTATTGGTTTTCCTATAGCAAATAATGTACATTACTCTAGAGCAGTGTCCCCCAACCTTTTGGGGCATCAGGGACAGGTTCTGTTGGAAAGAGATTTTTCTGTGGACCGGAGAGAGCATGTGCTGCCTGCATCCCACAGGTGGGTCTTTGCTTATTTGTGCAGCCTGGTTTCTGTCATACCGTGGAACGGGAGTTGGAGACCCTTAGAGTCTGAATCCTCTATATTTTTCAAACCAGCCTCCTTCCAGATGTGCTGAACCACAACTTCTATGGTGCTGGTTAAATTTATTGCTAAGGTTCGATAAGGGGACCTAGCTGGGGAAACCTGGAGTACAAAGTGAGTTGATAGCAGAATTGCCATAGAAAAACACTAAAACAAGCATTTGGTTTTAATTTGCACAAAAACAATTCTTGTGTGTTTATGTACTTGGTGTAGAATAAACAATTTCCATGGCTATTGCCTGAAATGTGCACACTCATCCCTGTCCTCCAGCTCTGGTTTTTGTTTTTAATCTTCAAGATTTGGTCCAATAACCGTTTTTAACATTAGAGAAGGAGCAAAGGCAAACCTGCCTTCTTCTCATCTAAAATTTCCAAACCAAGAACAGAGATGAAAATGGTTCTTTCAGTCATTCTATCTATTCTTTTCTTGCACTGATACAGCAGTCATGTATATCAGGGGTGTCAAACTCGGGATGACACATTGTCATCACGTGAAGTATCACAACCTTTTCCCCTTTTGCTAAACTGGGGGTGGGGGTGGCCAGCACATGATGCATCCGGCCCACAGGCTGCAAGTTTGATACCCCTGGTGTATATGCTATACTAGAAACATGGTTTTTGTTCTGCTTTAAAAGCAAAGAGTACTTAGAAGCAAAGAGAGAGGGAAGCTGTGTCAAGGTACAATTAGAAACAGAGACAGAAAAGGATGATCAAAGTACAGCAAGAAAATGGGCATTTGCCAATGCAATTATTATTTGCCAAGTTGTATTAAGTTGTACTTGACATACGCAGGAAGATGGCCAAATATTAATATCTCCTGTAATCCTAATTATTGTATGATATCCCTGCTTCTGTACCGCTCCGGTCATTATATAGTTGGGAAGGGGATTCTGCATTTTGGTCAGTGTCCTTTGATTCAGTTTTTGTCTTTCTTTCCCTTCTCCTTTCAGTTATTTATTTATTTATTTATCTATCTAGGCAAAACCACCACAACACCAAAAAAGAACAATCACAGTCTTCAGGTATTTTAGAACATTTTTTTCTTTAAAAAAATACTATAAAGTTATAAAAAGCAAAGAGACTTCGGATTGGATCCATGGACAGAGTTCTCAGACTGCTGGCTTCTGCAGAACACAGGCACTTGCTGTTAATGTGCTTTTGACTGTCAAGAGAAGAAAGAAGAGAGCGTCAATGCAAAATATGGCAGTTCATCTCATCCCAACCACAGAAAATGTATCTGTTGTGGCTAGTGTGTAGCCAGCGCTGCTTTGAAATGACTAAAGGACATGCAGCTATACTTATTAATAACCTTTCATAAAGCTTAAATGGATTTGGTATATGTTATCATAGCACCATGTAGACAAGGATATTTAGCTGAAAAAAGTTTGATCAGGTTTCAAATAAACACGGTCCCCATTCTACTCTCTGCAGCAAGTGCATAAATTGGACTATAGTATAGTAAGGAATTGCTCCCTTGCGGTCCATAATTATAGGTTCATAGTAATTCAGAGTGACACAAAAACCTCACATTGTACTCCAGCAAGCAGTCAGTTATTTCCACATAGTTCCTCCATGTGACTGCAAAAACATTTGAAAGATTTTTCCAGTCCACTTTGCTTAAACAAGGGGACTTAAACTGAATGGGAGGAACATGTTGAACATATAAGAAATTCTGAGAGTAGAGAGATGTGGTCAACTGAAATATAGTAAGGAGTGAGCCTGCAGAGATGGGCAGATGTTCTTCTGATTTATATACACTGAACCTCCAAGTCACTAGTGGCTGGAATCCCACTCAGAGAACATCAGGAGCTATCACAGCAACGGCAGCTTAATTTTTCAGGAACAAAGTTTTAAAATGAAATCTCTACTGGATTTAGTTTATATTTCCATGACAAATGAAATAAACTAACTCAAGCAGAAAGAAACTTCCTGAGTTGGCAACAGGGAACTGTTTTAGCACAACACACTATAACTACAGTTGGTGGCACAATATATTTAGTAAATATATAATTCAGCATTTGGGAACTTTGGCTGGTGGTACCAGATTATATGATCCTCAAATCGGCAATAAGGAATATGCAGATCATTCTTATTTTAAACGGAATACCAGCATTTCCTCAAATCAGTTATCTGAAGGTAAGTTTAATCTAAGTACCATTTCAAAATTCCTATATCTGTTTAGCCTTTCATAAAAAGTTTTAGAAGCAGATTTTTCGTTCTTAGTGGGAGAACCAAGCATAATTTTGCTCACACTTTGCCATTAAACCACCAATATTAGCTGAACTCAGATATCTTGAATGCTCAGCTGTCTTTCTCCCAAAAGAAAACTTACAGCTCTTTGAGTTGCAGAAAACAGAGGTGTGCCTGGCACAAACAGAAACATACAAAAGGGCTACTGATCATTAGCTGGGGTTTCATTCCCCATTCCACTCAGCTCATTTTAAGATAAGTTTAACAATTTGCAAAATTGCACTAACATCTATCAGTGTGTCCAGAGGCTTGATTTCAACAAGTTGTTATGAGATATGAATTATACTGGAATCAGAAATGTAGTCTTTAAATTAAAGGCCATTTCTAATATATTGTGTGGTCTCTTTTCTTCAATTATGTTTCCAGGAAAATGTATAATTCGATATCCTTGTACAAAACCTGACTATTCCAATATATTTGACTAAATATATTTACGTCCCTTCCAAGAGCTCTTAGCTGGCATTTTGCTGGCACCCATTCCTCAGGATGACAGCAACTAAACAGAAGAATATTCTACTTGTGAATTGCTCCTTGTGCAGCTTTTATGGTCAAGCAATCCTGTTAGGAAACAGAACTGGATCTTTAGCACATGTTGAAGTCTGCATATAACTGAAGAGCAGAATAAGAAAAGTGGGAGTGCTTGTTTCACATATTTAGGTTTATTCTAACCATGGTTATTGAACACACAATGCCAAGCCATAAACTGTTTTATAAATAACTAAGAATGAACCAGAACTAAAGCACACTAAAACTTGGTATGATTTGGGATTTCAGCCACTATGTTTCTGTGTTCTGTTCTTCAAACTTGTGCAGAAGTAAAACACAGTTTCACGTGGCTTGAAAGCTAATATTCCAGGTATTTGCCACAGCAGCCTTCCTCTGTATTTACTATTTAAAATAAATAGCCCTCCTGAGAATTTGATAAGAAATAGATTTTACCCGCAATCAAATTAGTTTCCATTATCATTTGACCTTTCAGTAATTGTAAACTGACTTATTCTAACAATGTTGCTGATTTTTTAAAAATTTTAAAAAAGCACAACTATTCAAAATATTTGCTATTTGAGTGGTGCAGAAATTTAAAAAATACTTCAACAATAACAAAAATGAAATTGCTTAAAAACCCTATTCTTACCACGAGAAAATAAAAATACACACTTATCTGCCCCGTGTCCTTATTTTTCAAAAATATTGATCATTTCATGGTTCACTTGGTTAATTTACTAAATAAAAGTTACAACACTAATAAAAAATACAGACTTGAAATGGTGACCGTTCGTTGGTGTTCAGTTTTGGTGCATTATTTTTCAAATATTTAACGATGAAGGAATCATTCTACCAAGAAGATAGGCGGCTCATAAATTTAATAAATAAATATATATAAACATACCTAAGAAAATACCATATTCTAATACTTTAAATAGCACTACAGCAGAAATGTAATGGTATGTGGTGCTATCCACTTCAATATTGATTTTATTTGTTTTGGAGTGTTATACCTGTTAACCTGTTTATGAAGAAGTCAGCCACTGTAAAGCAGAATGCAGACTTTGCAAACAAATCTGATGAAGGCAAAAGAATGCCAGTACAGCTCTTCCAAGGTGGAAGAAAATTCAGCCGTACACTTACAATGTCCAAGACAGGAGCTTACCTTCATTGTGTTCTGCTTTTCCTCAAAGGAGACAACTGGCTTCTTCCTTCTGATTGAGCCACCCAAATCAGATGAGGAACAAGAAGGCATGGATGAGGACAAATGCTTAGTCTTCACTGGCCTACAGTAGGTGGCTGAATTCTTGCGCCTCTTGGCTTCTTCATCTGAGATGCAATTGGTCAGCAGTGTTTTTGGACCATTCAATGTGGAGCTTTGGTTCTCCAGTGATGAGGCTTTGACAGGCATGTGGCTAGGTGCCCTGCAATCCAGATGGTTGACCCTCTTGACCCTGGCCCCTGAAGAGACTGTCCCATTCAGGGAAAGGTTAGAGGAAGCCACCACAGATGGCTTGGCCTTGGCAGATGGATGGGACACCTGGCAACCAATTGCTTTGTTCTTGCCCAGATCAAGGAAACAAGTTTGTTTATAAGGTGGGCTAGCAGAGACACTGGGAGATTGTTTGCGCTTCCGAGCTAAGGCTTCTGGCTCCACATTACCAGCCATCTCCTTGGCTTTGGAGGACTTGCTGGCCTTGTTTGAAGGCAACTTGCTGAATGATGGTGATGGGGTATTGGCTGGGAGTGGAGAAGTGATGGATTGGCTTCCACCCATGCAGTCTGACTGGCTACAGGCAGCTGCAGCATGGGGTGAACCAGCTGCATAGTTCACACTATGGTGGTTACGGCTGTCCCTGGATGCCATGGTCACTGAAGTTGCCCAGGATACAGAGGTCCTGCTTGGGGTGCTGTGGGGAAGGCTGCAAACCAGGGAGGAATTGTAATTTGGGGATGTATTGGATGTAGAGAAGCCCAAAAGCATTGGAGACGATGTAGAAACTGGATGATCAGCAGCTGGAGGAATCCTTCTGGGTGGGTCAAAGCAAGAAAACAAGAGTTAAGAAACAAAGCTTGTTTCACAGACCAGCTTTCAATTACTCTGCCTAGCTATTAATACTGAATCATAGAATCTTAGGGTTGGAACCTTGGTGGTCTTCTAGGCCAATCCGCCCGCTTAGGGAAGGGGTCTTTATTCTATCCTGAACGAACAAAACATCTTTATTATTTCTTTGTTGCCTTTTTCTTTCTATTTTTTTTCTTTTTTTCATTATGCTTTGTTTTTTCCCATACAGTATTTCCAAATTATACAGGATCTCTGTTCTCCTTCAGATTCAAAACTTTCTCTTTCTTTCTTTTTGCCTCTATTTGCTGTCAAATTCAAAGGTCTTTACAAGAAGGATGCCTGGAAAAATGTGTATCTTCTCCATCGTCTTGCAACCTCTTCCCCTGCTTGGCTTACTCGTTGTTCAGATAAGTTTTCTCCCTGTGAAGGATATACCATCAAACTTGGTAATCCAGTGCCATCTACTGGAGAATTCCCCCCCCCCCCCCAAAAAAAAAAACAAACCAACCAGCAGAAACTTAACAAATATTTCTACAGGCACTGACTTAGAGGGACTGATGACGAAGCAGAGGGAAAAAAGCTAAAAAACATGTGACCACCTCCTATCAAACATGTGTATGATGTGTAAAGGTGAGCCTACCTATTGGAACACAAGAAATATTGAACTGATCCCTGTTTGTTTCCAAGGATCCAGATATCCTTTTATATTCTCAGATGCCATTTCTGTCAAAGAGATACAAAACTGTACAATACAACAATTCCAATCTTGCTTGGGATGAAAATGAAAAACTCTCTTCAAACATGACAACTCTCTCAAGTTTTCACAAATTTGACAGAGTGTGAAACTGTCATTCTGCATGAATGATGAATGGCTTGTGGAACAACATTCTATATGAAAATGCACCAAGCTTCTGTTGTTGCTTGGGCTTTTTTTGATAGCACTAGGTAAATATAATTTCTCAGCTTTTGAACAATTGTTTTGGCTGCCTTTTAATCTTTGCAGCATTTTACCATTGCTATTTTTTAAATTTTATTCTTTCTTTGTTACAGATTGTTAAGTGGTTTTGTTCTGGGTTTTTTTTAACCAACCTGTTTCATTGTAACTGTTATATGTCTTTAAGCCATGACTAGGTAGAAAAAATAGTAATTTTAAAAAGAAATGAACAAGTAGATATAATTGAATTTTCAGGAATAAGGAGGGTCTGTGCTGTTTTTACATTTTCCCCATTTTTTCTTCTTCTTCTTGGGCATTACAGTCTCTAAATATTTCTAGTGTTTGATAGATGCTGCTAAATCTTGTTTAAGAATCCAAATTTATTAATTCAATGTTATGTCAGTCCTCAGAGTCTGTTAGGTGAGATACAAACTATGTAAATAAATAAATAAATCGGGATTTATTTTAAGAAATATGCAAGATGATATCATGACTTAAGACTGACTTCTTATATATGAAAGGCATCGTAATTCTCTTCCACTGCATGCCATGCCCAAATTCATGTATATGACTGTGCAAAGGCAGAAGCACATTCCAATTATTTCTCCAATTTGTTTGGCATTGTCCTAAGGTAACTTACTTCCACATGTGCGAGCTAAGATGTCTCTCCAGCATGGAACTGAGTGCAGAGCAGAACCGATCCAACCGTCGACTGAACACATAACAACCTGGGCTCATCAATCTGCTTCCAAAAGTGCAGAACTGTTGTGGTGGGGGAGGATTAACAGAAGGATCGAAGTGTTAGAAACAATCGTGCAAAGAGCACCCTCTCAAATTCTACAGTGACAAATAGTAGACTCACTTTATATCAAGAAAGTTATTCATTCTATCCTCTATTTCTTCAGCTAATGAGAAAGGGAGACTAAGTCACCTCTATTGTCTTAATTCCTATGAACAATTAATTTTGTGTGGATTCAACCCACATTTCATTAGTACAGGTAGACTTACGACCACAACTGAGCTCAAAATTTCTGTGGCTAAGTGAGACATGTGTTGTGTGAATTTTACCCCATTTTACAACTCTTTCTTGCCTCTGTTGTTAAATGAATTTCGGCAATTGATAAATTAGTCACCCGGTTGTTAAGTGAATCTGGCTTCCCCATTGACTTTGCTCGTCAGAATGTCGCAAAAGGGGATCACACGACCTTGGGACACAGCCATGGTCATAAGTATGAACCAGTTGTCAAGCATTTGAACTTTGATCACATGATCATGGGGATGCTGGAAAGGTCGTAACTCTGAAAAACGGCCAAAAGTCACTTTTTTCAGTGCCGTTGTATGTTTGAACAGTCACTAAACCAACTGTTGTAAGTTGAGGACTAGTTGAGGACTATCTGTAGAGCAGAGAAGCTTTGCATTTGTTAACCCCAATATTCAAGATCTGGTTGACTGAATTAAAGGAACTGTTAATCTCAAAGCCAAGAGGACTTCCTTTTCTTTGAAGAGTTACTTCTTGCCCTTCAAAACACTAGCCTAGGTAGACTAAGGGCTTGACATATTGATTTAATTTACACATCATGCTAAGCATTATTGAACAAGCATAATGTCTGGATTTAGAGATCACCTTAAGCCCATGATGGCGAACCTATGGCACATGTTCCACAAGTGGCACGCAGAGCCATTTGTGCTGGCATGCCAGCTACAGGCAAACTTACCTCACTGCGCATGCACGCACCTCACAGCTAAATTATTTTGGATTGGTTTGAGGCCTTTTTTGGCCTCCCAGAGGCTTGGAAAAAGCCTTTGCAAGGCTTCTCAGCCTGAATTATAGGCCCGTTTTGTCACTTCCTGTAATACCGAATTTGGCCTGAAAAGCCTTGGAGAGGCTTTTTCCAAGCCTCTGGGAGGCCGAAAAAGGCCTCAAACCAGCCAAAAAATCAGCTGTGAGGCGCAGTGCAGGTAAGGGGGTGGTGGTGGTGAATTGTGCTTGCATGTGCAGGAGGCGTGGGGAGGGGGCGCGCATTGCATTCTGGGTGCTGGCACACAAGTGCATGCGCACTGGTGCATGCGCAATTTTTGGCACAGGAGCCCAAAAAGGTTAGCCACCACTGCCTTAAGCCAAAAAACAAACACATCACGTTATGACTTAAGAGTGACATGTGAACCCAGGCATCGGAAGACCATCCCACAGCTTCACAAGCACTCCATTCTCCTAGGGCTCCACTTTTAACATCTGCCAAGTATTTCCCATCAAAGCCCCACAGCAACAAAGGAAAGAGCAGGACGGGTCTCGCTCGGTCCCTTACTGCCTGGGGATGGGGTCGTCGTGTTGCATAACGGCAGTCTAACTTGTGGGAATCATCCGCGGCCTCCTCCTCACTCTCCTCGCTTGTCACCCGCCCCGTGCTCTTCGATGCCGGGAAACGGTAGAGACGGTTGTCAATTTCGCTAGAAGATACAGGCACGTCATCAGGGTCACTCTCGGAGGAAACCCCAGACCTGAAAGCAGCAGAAAGAAGATAAGAGCTGTGCTTCCTGAGAACTGAATTTCCAGAAAGTATGGCGGATACCACCATATCTGCTCCCTCATCTCAACTGTGTGTTACCTGGAAAGTGCACAGTGGGAATATGGTTGCTTCGTGTGACAAGAAGAAGTAGAAACATTGGTCAGAACCAAAGAAGTCTGTGACATGGAAGAGAAGTCCTGCAACAGCCGTTCAGTAGCTATGTCTTTCCTCACCGGACTTTTATCTTTGGGACACTCGCCCTTCTTGGTGCTGGCCTTCAGTTCAGCCACTAACACATCAAAGTCCTTTGTTCGGCCTTGCACCTCTCGACGCTGATGTACAGAATGGATCTGGAACACAGGCAAGATCAGATAAGTTAGATTTATCAGCTGGCAGGTAGAAAAGCAACTTCAGAGAGAGGACATGATGACAGGCTATGGTCAAATAAGGAACACCCCACATAAAACCCCATGAATGGTACAATCTTATGAAAAGAGTGTGTGGCGTTTCTCTAATGCAGGGGTCTCCAACCTTGGCCACTTTAAGACTTGTGGACTTCAGCAAAGCTGGCTGAGGAATTCTGGGAGTTGAAGTCCACAAGTCTTAAAGTGGCCAAGGTTGGAGACCCCTGCTTCTAGTGAACATTTTAACAAGTCTCTGAGAGACTGGCACTGAAGCAGAAGTTATGGTTAGAAAAGCATTATTGATATGGGAGTAGACAGTCTTTTCTTGGGGTGAGGACCACATCTGATCTGTTACTTGGCTCCCAGCAGATCATACTCCAGGGATTGGTTGAAACTGGAATCAAAACCAAGCCGAAGCCAAATTTAATGTGATTCAATTTAAACATGAACTGCCCCGTACGTTTAATAATTTTCCATTCTGTCACATTAGACGTGACAGTTCAGTAGCATATTTTGGAAGTGTTCTTAACCTGAATCCAAGACTTGCTGGGAATGCATGTGACTTCTGACAGATACTAAATTAAACAAGATTTGTTAAAGGTTTTGCTGGGGGAAAAAATCCTCTGGTTTATTGTTACAAAGCAGAGAAAAATTGATAACATACAGTTGCATATACTGTAATATTATTCACAAGGAGACTTCACCAAAGTTATGTTAAGGAGATATATTAATTGTACCTGTTACATGTTTGTTTTATGTTATGTTATTTTGTGTTGTGTTTTGCTTTTCTTTGCTATGTTATGTTACGTTGTGTTGTGTTAGGAATAAGCAACAGTAAGACAAAGAAATTATGAACTAAGAAAAATATAACTAAACATATACATAACAAAATCGGATAAAAGGAGAACATTTGTAGCTTGGGGTTGACATGAGGGATCCTTGGTGCTCTCTGAGCTTGCTTGTTTTCTTGCAGACATTTCATTACCCATACTAGGTAACTTCATCAGTGCTAATAAGGAGTGCAGTTTCCTGTTAGTTTATATTCTAGTAGCTTGTCCTGTCAGTGTTAGTGGGGGTGAACTTAAGAGATTCTTTGGTAGTATTTTGCTTGGGGTATTGTTTAATTGATTGTTGGTCTGATGTTAACCTTGGAGTTAATCAATGCTGGTGGAGAGGAGCTTCGGTCTTTTTGTTCCTTTTGGGGTTGGGACTGGGTGACAGTCTCTTTTACATAGTCCAGAGGAGAATCGGTAGCGGAAATTTTGAGTAGTTCAGAGAACTGGCAAATACCTCTGACTGGCCCTGCCCCAATCTATTCTCTGCCTCCTGAGTCCCAGCTGATTGGCTGGGTCTTCTTTTGTTGCGCTGCACAGGAGAATGGAGCTGGAAAGCAGGTTAGTGGGATGGGGAGGGAATGGGATTTTGCAGTAACCTTCCCCTGCCATGCCCACCAAGCCACATCCACAGAACCAGTAGTAAAAAAAATTGAATCCCACCACTGACATAGTCTATAGATGTTGTTAATGTTTATATGTCTATTGATGGAGGATTTGTCAGAGTGCCAGGAATTCCCTGGCATTTTTGGGCTTGGCTTGGTCTAGGATGGTCATGTTATCAACCAAAGAAGCTCTAAAACCACCTCCACCAACACTGACAGGACAAGCCACTGGAATATAAACTGAAGCAAACTGCACTCCTTACTAGAACTGATGCCGTTACCTAGTATGGGTAATGAAACACGTGTAAGGAAAGAAGCAAGATCAGAGAGCACCAAGAGAGCACCTCATACACATATATAGTTTATACTAATAACACATCTCCCTGTCTTTCTATCATTGCAAACATCTTTCCTTCCGCCATATCCATATACCATCTATACACAGTTTTGATCTATTAACATTCTCACTATTTTTTTTTTGAGGCTCTTTTCCAGCCAGAACTTTCTTAGTTTTCCCCCTTTGTCTGAATCTATTTGCTCTTCCTTCATGTATTATTTGCAATTCAATCTTCCTTCTATCTAAGTGAACAAGCCACCACAGTGCCTATGTTTTGGACTGGTTACTAACTTTCATATTTATTTCAAACTCAGCATGCATTCATTTTCAACTCTGTTGTGTTCTCGTTTCATCCTATGCCCTTCTTAAACACCCTTTCTTATATCTTTCTCCTGACATATCTAACACTCATTTTCATATAACCGATCAAGTAGAAGCATGTTTTTATTCCCAGCCATCTTCACTTCTTTCAACAAGCATGCATTCCTCACGCAGAATACACAGCACCCACCATATTTCTATCGTTATTTAGACATCTTAAAATTTCTCAATCCATTTCCCCATCTTTAATAAACATCCTACCAAGGTCACAAATCCATCTACCTCCTCTAGGTCCCCCCCCCCCATTTATGTATACCTTAAAATCATTCACTCCATTTCCTTGTCAAACATAATTGCCACATTCACACTGCTCCCTGCATCATACACTCTAACATTCACTGCAAATTATTCTGTTCTCAGTTAACACAGCATCATCTGCATACAAAAACGCATGTATATTCATGCGCCCAAACTAACACTCCTCTAATGTCATTGCAAGCATTCCTTATAAATTTATCCCTAAATGCATTAAGCAACCCAGAGAAGTCCTGTATTCTTATCTTACCTCCAATTATTGTTGAATCGTTCTCCGAGCATATTTATTTTGACACATGTTTTGCTTCCATCATATACCTTTCTTATCACCATCATAAACAATCTTCTACTCCATATTTTCACAAAAAATATTGAACGAATATCCACATTCATTCAAGCTGATTCACTTTATCATATATTTTCTCTAAATCAGTCATTGCAGTCCGAATACCACAACTACTGCACACAGTCAAAGCATGTCTGCATCAACACTGCATGCACATACAGAGTGGAAGGGCTTTGATCCCATGGTTGAAACCATCATTTTGATATTTTTTTTTTAAATTTCCCATATGAACATCCCCTGCTGGCACTCCAATGAGATTTCCCAAGGAAGACACAATAGCACCTATACAAAGACACATCTCAATGTGCAAACGAAGAAATTATTTGCATGGAGATGCAAGACCACTTGCTAAAGATCCCCAGGCCAGACTGCCATTAAAAACGAAGGAGGACGGGCTCTAGAAAAGAAATAACCTAACCTTTCAATAAGCATGAGAGTGGCAGTCATAAAGGCAATTCACTGCCCTGCACTTCTCATCTCTCCAGTCACTGCAGAAAGCAGGCTTACACTGCACAGTGTCTTACCTTGCAGGTCAGTAACCGAGTGCAAACTTTCTTGGTTTCAGGATTCACCACACCACACTGGCGGTTTAAGTCACATTCTTTCCCTGGGGTAACAAATACAGAATTAATGCCAAAGAGTCGCATTTCTGTAGGTCCAATGACATGTCACCCCGTCCCAATGACCCAATTCCGTTTGATTTATTAAGGCAGCCCCCTTATTGAAAACGTACTACTGGTAGTCCTCAACTTACAACCACAATTGAGCCCAACATGTCTGTTGCTTAGTGAGAAAGGTGTTAACTGAGTTTTGTCCCATTTTGCCACAGTTGTTAAATGAATCCCTGCGGCTCTTAAGTTAGTAACAGGCTTCTTAAGTGAATTTGGCTTCCTCCATTGACTTTGCTTGGGGCAAAAGGTTGCAAAAGCTGATCCCACGACCCTGGAACACGCAACCGTCATGCACGTGAGTCAGTGGCCAAGGGTCTGAATTGTGATCACGTGACATGGAGATGCTGCAATAGTTGTAAGTGTGAAAAGCAGTCATCAGTCACTTTTTCAGTGCCACTGTAATTGTGAATTGTAACTAAATGAACTGTTGTAAGTCAAGGACTGCCTGTATTTTAAAAAAAACCAACCACCATTATTCACTTTTTGCTGTCAGAGCTGCATCAAATACAATTCTTTATGCAAATGAATGGCATGTCTCATTTTGGATGTGTATATTTATTTACTTGCTGATCTTAGTTTAATTTTATGGACCAGCCTACATGGAATCATATCTTTGGGGTAGACATTGAGGTGACATCCTATTTGTCTTGGCCCAGAATTGTGATCATGTGGCATTAACTGAAAAGAGAGATCCTTTGGGAGTTGGGGAACTTCTTCTAGCTGCTAAGGAGCTTAGATTGCATATCCTCCAGGTAATCCTGTAATCCCAGTGCTTAAAAATGAGATGATACATGCAGGATTTCCCTCCCTTCCCATCCACTCAGGTACCTTTGGGACAAATGCTTAACCTCATGGAATTAAACTGGACAAACTGGTTTTGCACAGTAGGTACACTGGTTTTGCAAAAATTCCAAAGTGGTTATGACACACACCTTTTCTTTTGACAAAGGATGAAGTGAGCAAGATGATAAATATACATGGAAAGAGGCATCTAAGCTGGCATCTTAGAAGCCCGGTTCTCTTCCTTCATGATTACTAAGGAAGCAACCCTAGAACTCTCTTTCAACTTCGCCCTAGGACCTAGGTAGCAACCCCTTCTTCCTTACAGATGAAATGAGGAATGGATTTATGGGAAATGTTTTGCTTAGGAAATACAGCTACCAAACCAAGTTTCATTTTTACAATACCACTCATTAAAAAGACCCTATGATGTCATCATTCCTGAAGGTTTAACTGTTTATTACATTGCCTCTAGCCAAAAGATTGCACAATGAGAAAGGCAAGACTCACGAGATATTTTCTTCAGAGATTTTACAACACCCGATTCTTTCTCACTCAGACTGGAAGCATTCTCCAGTTTCCTGTTCAAGGTGTCAACCGTTATTACAGAGGTGCTGCCAGCTTTGGCTGATGCCAGCTCTTTCGTTGACGCCAATAAGGAAGGTTTGCCAAGAACCTCTTTTGAGTTACCCGAAGTCTGTTTGGGAATGGCAGTGTCAGAAAGCAGAGTGGGAGCCTTGATTCCATCTCCATCGGACTTTGGAAAGCTGGAGATCTTCTCTAGGTTCACTACAGGCACAAACAAGCTGGAGGACAAAAGAGCACACGTTTTGGTGTTGATGTCACATCCAATCTCCCGAATTATATTTCATCTAAATTCCCAAAGAAAGTAACCTGGAGGCCTTGTAAAAGACCCTCGTGATGGTTGGAGTTCCATATCAGCAAACTCTTGCAGCAGCTTCATTCACCAAGTAACCTTCCTCATGTATTAGCATTGTATTTATGGATTTTAAAAAGAGGCATGTAATCACTGCATGAGAAGGCATGCAGGAGAAAGTAGAAGAGATAAAGATAGGAAAATAGGCCTCCACAGATGGTAAAGCAAGAGTCTGTAAATGTTGGGAGTACCAACATTGATAACTTCACACATAATCCCAGCACCTAGCAACACAGTCTTCTAATTTACTCTCAGCCATCAAAAGACCAAGCCAAGAAAACAATTTTAGAACATTTGCCGTCATACTTCATCTTTTAGTAAATACACTGTTTTAAATACACTAAATAAACATTTGCTATCACAGCTCACCTGTTAGTAAATATGCTCCATTTCAGCAAATACACTCTGAAACCAAAATGGGGTTATCTTAACCCAAAGGAGCAATCATATTTTCTCACCGGACTTAAAAAAAATAAAATCCAAACACTGTTATCTGGCTAATGGAATTCAACCTTAATCATTAAATAAATGAACAAGCTTCCATCTATACTGCAGAAAACGGATTATTGTTTTGACCATACATTTTTAACTGCTGCATACTAGCTTTTTTCATGTTATATTTCCATTAGCATTTGTAATTAAATAAATAAAATCAATTACTTAATAGAAAGAAATCACAGAAGTATCAAAATGGCACAAAGGGAATACATAATATTCCTTTTTTGAATCATTAATATATGGGTTTATTTATTGCTCCGGTTGCTTCTGGAATTGCAATCCACTATAAAAGAAGAAAGTTAAAAAGTTAAAAAATAAAGTCCATGTTTTAAAAATCATCTTTTCTGGAACCATCTGTAGCAAATGGGACCATAAATGTGAATCAAACTAAGAGTGTGCAAAACCTTTTTATTTGATCATTTCAATCTCAGAACATCCTAATCAGGTGTGAAACAGTTGTTTCAAGTGCAAAATAAGTTTTTTTGAGCACTTCAGAAGAGTTTCACACTCAAAGCAGTGTTCTAAGCATCAAGAGTTCACAATCACTAGAACAGAAATCTTCAAAGAAAAAAAAATCTTCTCTTATGTTTGCATGAAATATAAACCTTAGAGAACAAGAATATACATGAACCATAGAAGTGCTTGCAGATTCCCTGTGTCACCTCAGGAAATATTGTAAGTTCATTCATTCATTTTCTATAGCTGTAGGGCTCAATTTTTATAACTATCCTGAAGGAGATGGTTTCTCTCTTTCTTACCACACTTCAACCAACCAACCAACCCATAGCTAGGATTGTTTTCTCCAAAGTATGCCTGATCTGAGATTGTCTCAGAGAGAATGGTGGGATTTATCACTCACAAAGAACCCTAGACCCTCTTACCAGAGGTTGTCCTTTGGCATCTTGTCCGTCTTCTCTGGTACATGCTGGGTTTGATTAAAAAAGCTCTGGGATTTTTCCCTCCATGATTTGGTGGATCCATGATTGCCACCAACAATGGGTCGCCCATTGACTGCATGGCACTTCTGCAAATTGGATGAAGGTTGCACCCGACCACAGAGTTTGCTGAGAGGTCCATGGCGTCTCTCTATGTGGGAATAACAATGCTGTTAGCCAGAAAGCTTAGCTAACCAGTGAAGGAGCCTGCAAGGTAGCATTCAGATAGCAAATCGCAGGTCCGCCTTGGGTAAGTAGTGGGATAGGTACAACAGTAAGCCAGGGCCTTTTAAAAGCATATTTTCCATAATTAGCCCCTGTTCTTCTACTACAAATATGTTATGATTCCCAATCTCTTTCATCAGCCATTAAAAAAATATTGTTCTCCTCCTAAAGCTACTTGGGAATAAAAATAATGCAAACAGCGTAAAAAAATTATACTAGGTACTTTAGCCTGATCACTTACCTCCCAGTCTAAACTAAATCCGTGGATCCAAACAGGTCAACTAAGTCAGAGAGAGTTTTATGCAATTTTGTATTTCATTCCAGTCAAAAATCATTCAATAGTTTTCACTGCAAAATTCTGGATCTTTCCTTATCTCATCTACTCACCACCACACCTGCAAACTTGATTTTAAAAGTATATACAATACTGCCCGAGGAAAGACCTGTTGTTATTAAATTTGAACCTTCACCCAGAACCTTAGAACTAAAGTACATGACAGCATCTAGAACTAAGTCCCCAAATTCAGAAGCACATTTGTACAGCTCTCCAGTTTACCAAATCACATTTAAAGTCTCTTCCTTTTCCTCAGCATAACTCTTTGCTACTACTACGAGTCACTTCTAATCTTGATTTCTGATTATTACATTTTTAAATCCACACAGTTTTCCTGGCATTTTTTTTTTCCAGAAGAGAGTTACCATTGCTTCTTTCTCCAATGATAACCCCAAGGTTACCCAGCTAGCTTCATCCTAAGGCAGGAGGACTAGAATTCACGGTCTCCCGGTTTTTAGTCTGGTGCTTTTAACCACTGTACCAGGTTGGCTCTTTTTGCTGGCAACCCTCAAAGTGCATCTTTTCAAATTTGTCCCGTATAGTTTTGACAGAGCTGTGACACAGAAAAGAGGTTATTCTCTCTCTTGCCTGTTTGTTAGGGAACTGTACTCAGTAACTGTACATAGCCCACCACCAAGATACAACCATGGGTCTCAGAAGCCAAACATCATACTGTTTTCTTTGTGTGGCTGCCATTAGCAACATATACAGGATTATTCTATCCCTCTAGGCACAATTCATAAAGCCTAGGGGCATGTTGGTGAACCTACGCCACGCGTGCTGGAAGTGGCATGCAGAGCCATTTCCCCCGGCACAAGAGAGGTCACCCGGAAAAACCCCACTGTGCATGTGCCGCCCGACAGCTGATTGTCAGGTATCTGGTGTGCATGCACAGGGGGTGGAGGGGGGTGCGTGGGAGATGTGTGCGCATGCGCAGGGATGTGCTGTGCATGAGGGGGGTCGCGCATGCATGAGCAGGTGTGCGGGGGGCAGCACACATTGCCTTCTGGGCATGCGCAAGCGAGCACATGCACAATTATTGGCAGGGGGCTGAAAAAGGTTAGCCACCACTGGTCTAGGGTATAAATACATAACAGAAATAAAAATGGTATCCTTCTTCCATCATATAATTTGAAGTGATGTATGTGGTTGTGCACTGAAACACTGAGCAGACCCAACCTATCTTGCTTCAGCAAGGATTCTGCATCATGTGACTTCTGCTCACATTCTGGATACTTCTGTCATTCCATTCACCCATTTGCCTCTTATTTGCCAACAGGCTAAATTACAACTTGCCAAATGGCTTCAAATTTAGACCCTTCGCTTGGCTTGCTCCAACTCAGAACAGATTTTGGTAGTGAGCAAAGAGATTTTGATAATCCTCATGAAATAACTACTTCCTCTCATCTCCCTCCAGGCAACAGTCCAGCTCTGGATAAAGGTAGAAATTTGAGATGAAGGTAAATAATTAACAGATGTTTGCTAAATGCAATTTCTTACATTTAATTTCCTTAGCTGAATTTTGAGATCACAAAAGGAAAAACAGCTAAAAAAAATGGCCAAACATAATTTTATCTCTAAAAGTTAGAATTTGGTAGGAGGCAGCTATACCAGCTGGGAAGGAGAAGAGCTATATAATGCCACTTGCAAAGCATTGGACAGAAAAGGGTCAGCCAGATGTACAACTCAAGCAAGGCAATATTCTAGCAAATAGTGTCTTCTGCCATTAAAAGGATGGTTCTGTTAGATGCACATAATTATTCATATATCTCTCATACATATATTGCAGAAGTTATGCAGACATGCAGCTTTGGCCATTTACTAGCTGCCTCCCAATCTTGGGGTGTAAGTAGCAAAATGTCATCTTGGGAATGACCCTATCATGATCAGAACGTGTCCTTTGTTTCTTGACTACTACCTTACCAGCAGTCTCCTTGATCATTGAGAAGCAATCCTAGGGAAGAGGAGCTTCCCTAATTTGTAGAAAGGGAACAAAAAAAGAGGGCCTTTTTGGCACCACCACCATCACCTCAGCCCCCAGGTAGCACTACTCCCAAGCAATTCCTGAGAGACTATAAACATTCGATTGGCATGTTGGCTGCCTAGCTTACCGCAGTGCTTCTGAAAGGCTTGAGGTTTGACCACTTGGCCACAGTGGTTACACACCACCAGGTAGAACTCATCATGAGCCGGGCAATGACCAAAGATAGACATGTCTGAAAGGACAAGAGATGCAAGCGATGAGAGCACACTCAGGGAAAAGCACACTCATGTCACCCTGTCAATTTTGCAGCCTGAGAAACACTTGAGCAAACCTATGAGCAAAATGATAAGCCCAGCCTATCTTGAAAGCACAGATTAAGTCAGGAGAACCTGGGACTCTCTGTGTGCAGCTGAGCTACAACTATTAACACCCCACAGCACTGAGTTCACCGGGGAAGCTGTAAGAAGTGGCAATTCAGCAACACCTGGAAAACCACAGAATCTCTCCCTCTGTCCCTCTCTCTCTCTCTCTCTCTCTCTCTCTCTCTCTCTTGACTTAAAAGAATAGAGAATGAGATACACAGCTGAGAAGAAGTTGTATTTTTGTCACAATTATTTCATACACTACTAGCATTTCCTGGATTCTTTGTATGAGTGCAAGATGGAACAGCCAGTGCTTGCAAGGTACATTGTTCAGTTACAATCAGTGGTTGTTTATATCAAGTCAGGCCATTGGTCCAGCTAGCCAAATGCTCTTTACTGTAACTGGCTAATCATCTCACAACAGCAGGAGTTGGAAGAGCTGAATAGCAAGCCTATACTCTGTTATTTAGCAAAAGAAGCACCTAGTTCTTACTGGAAAGGCTACATCAGGGCTGTCAAACTTGCAGCCCGCAGGCTGGATGCGTCACGCACTGGCCATGCCCACACCCAGTTTAGCAAAGGGTAAAAAAGTCAAGATACGTCACATGATGATGTCGTGACCATGCGAGTTTGACACCCCTGGGCTACATAATCAGGAGCTTAAAGTGATATTCCCTAACTCATCACCCCTCAGTTTTGACTACAATTCTTATGATATCCTGATAATACCAGCCAATGATAATGGGACTTAAAAGCAAATGTATGTGGAGGGCATTGGGTTGAAAAAAGACAGGTCTAATGCTGGACTAAACTAGGCATTCCAGTCTGCATGCAATTATTTTGTATGTCATTCGGTTGATATTTTTGCAAGTGGCTATTCTATTTAGAAAACTGCCACTGAGTGAGGTGGCCTCCAGAGCTAGTCTGGAGATTGCCTCTCCCTGCTAATGTGGCTGCACATGTTAAAACAAAAACAAAAAAGGTGACAAAACAAATGGCTATCATCCGGCAAAGGGGGTTCTCACATGCTGTCCTAGGCTCTGTAACGTTGGCAGCAAGCAGCCCCACCTCCTAGCACAGCTGGGGTAGCAGAAATGGAAAACAAAGAGTCACAGACAGGCTAGAAAGCAGTGAAAAGACCTAGGGCAGCAGGGCAGGAAAGAGAGGAAAGCTGCCAAAGAGGGAGGGAGGGACAAGGCCCAACTAATTGCAGACTATCCAAGGGCTTGGCTGGTTCAAAGTGATTGCAAAAGTCAGACAAAAGCACAGCAGAGCTTCATCTGAACATTCTGGCTTGGGTGTCCAGTGTAATTCACATTTCCAAAGGTCTGCTAGAGAAACAGCAGGGGCTGCAGGAAGAGTTTGGGGTATGAACAATCTGATCTGGAAAAATGATTTCAGTTCCTAATGTCATTGCTTATGTCAATGTTCTTACTTCCTAGCAGGACTTCAATCTGCATCTGTAGCCTTCTCTACTCTAATAAAGAACAGGACTTCTTTAGAAACACATGTGTACACAGACACACAAAATAGAGGAAGCTGTCTGATCCCTTGGCAGAGTACAGGCAGTTGGTGACTCAGGGCATATTTTTTTTCTAACTATTGATATTAACAGAGACTGGACTTGAATGAGTTGGACTTGATTTTATCTATTCTAGCATGGGTTCTAGCATAGTTTTTATTTAATAGCATTTATTTGGAATGCTCTGGTTAAAATATTGATGGACAAGGTATGATTAGTATTTGAGGTCAGAAAAGAACAGTCTGAGAACATATTGGGTCCCTCCCTGCAGCCTTGACTCATTTGCATGAGTCATCTGGAATCTCTATAAAAGTCTATTTAACTTCGTTTTAAGAAATGCTCGAGATCATATAATATGAATATGAGGGAAACTATGGACAGATAATCTTTAGGCAAAAATGGTGGGAAGTCAGTGGCTTTTGCTTGGGGCTCATGCAACTTCATCTTATTAGAAATCATAGAGAGGAAACTATCACAAAAGAGACTTTGAAACTTAAAAAAAAAAAAAACCCTGGCCATAGAAACTGAATAGTTTCTGTTATCTCAAATCTCTGGAAAGGTCATATTAACTGTTTGGTCAATGGAAGGTCTGCAGAGGCAAGATGGGAAGATTCAAGACAAAAATCTACAAACCGATATCAAGGAAGATGTATCTTCAATACTACAGTATATTGATTCCCTAATAAATTGTAGGAATTATTCCTCCTTTTTATCCTAAGTTATGCCATAATTAGGAAAAATCCATCATTTTTTAAATGGGCAAAACATCAACCCTCTCTGAAATACAAGAATATAATCATGGAATAGGACACTTTTACCACTGCTGACATCCATGATGTGTCAAAGCATTTGCCCAGGATTGATTCTATGCATTCCAACTCTTCCCTTCCCCACAAATCTTGTGTCATGGAGAAATTAGAGTTGGTTGTCATAATGCAGCAAACCCTATTGTGGCTGTCACTCAAAGTTATGGACATGTTACTGCTCCATGGGCAAGCAAAACCACAGCCTTCTCTTTGAAGAATTGAGACGTCTGTATAGGCTAAGTTAAGGATCACCTGCTGTGTGAAAATGCAGTAATTACCATTCCAGACACTGGAGTATACAATACTTATAGCAATATTCATCCATTTCTTTTTACAGATGCAGAAGATTTGATTTTGACCTTTGTAGAGCAAAGGTTTCTACAAATGCATGTTTCACCAGAGAGTTTGATGTCTTCTTACCTTCTTTAATGAGGGTCATTGCATCAATCTTCTTTCTCCCATTCCTACTGTTTTCTTCCAGATCGGACACTAGACAAATTTTAAAAACAATTGTTTCCATCAGGCCAAAATTAAAGCTACTTAAGATACATTATCTATCAATGCTAAGAAAATGGCATCCAGACACATTAAAATGGATACTTTCTACCCCTTAAAGTTCAACTCAGAGCATGCTCAATTAGAATTAGTTCATACTATATAGCAAAGCTTACTAGAGTATGTATGGTTATGCAGGTAGGTTGAATAGGCTTACAACATATTTCAAGACAAATAAGTAGCAAAAGGAACTTCCATCTCATTTACACATCACACCTTCTCAAACTTGCTATGTAGCACTCTGCTACATTACATTATGTCCTAGTATTGTACTGAAGAGATCTATCTGCAAGCAGATAAACACTATGCCTCTATTACATTTGCGGTTCAATAGATTTTTTTTTAATTAATCCTCTCCCCTTCAAAAGTACATGAAATTGATTTCTTGATGAAAATTATTACATTTGTATGCCACCTTGCCTCCAATTGAGCTTGAGCAGAGGACTGTGCAAAGGTTGTCTTATTTTTTTTTAACCTTCGTTAACAACCCTATGCAAAAGGTAAGGCTGGTTTGCCCAAGGTCACCCTGAGCTTTACCAAAGAGAAGGAGTTAATTTAACAACAGCAATAATCTTAGCAGTTCTTAAAGTTGCCAAGACAATAAGGGTTCCTAAGAATCACCTCTGCTAATACAGCAGATGTTCTTCAGCTTCTGCGAGCTTATAGTAGTGGACTTGCTGAATCTCAGACTTCACTGCCTGCTGTTTCAGCAGAATTGCTCTGCCAATCTGTATAAATCAAGAGGTGTGTGGAAGACAGTGACAGCTCCATCCATGGAGGCTTTGAAACTATAACAAGGTGGTCATAGGATAAGAACATGATTTGATCAACTCCTGTGGTAAGACTTCATTTGGAAATCCTTTTCTTTTTCATTTAGCTTTCAAATAGCCATCATCCACCAGTATTCAACAAGCACCTATATAAAATAAATATGACTATGAAAGAGATATGCTTGTATCACATGAAACAATAATAGGTGTATCTGATCTATGCACTTTTTAGGATCAGGAGCGTTATTCTCCTAGCAGTCAAACCTAGCTTCAAAAAATAGATGTCTTAAGATGGGCTTCAACATGGAATCCCCAAATTTCAAGGTAAATAAATGCTGCTGGATTTTAGCTCATGGAATCAAAATTTTGCTGATGCTAAATTACAGTGGTATCATGTTGTAAATCAGAATATTATGGTTTTATTAGAGTGGAAACATTTTTCTTCCACCACTGTGCATGTAGTTGACCTAATAATGTGGTGTCATATCCGATTTCCACATGTATATGAGAAATGAAATAAACGAATTTAGAATTAATATTTCTTCTACTACTTTCCATCTGGGAACTTCTTTGCACTTATAGAGACATTCATGAAATGCCCACAGGTGTCCAGCAACGCAGGTCAAAATCAAAGGTGTGACTTCAAATTAGTAATGTGAATGTGTCACAGAGATGGTCATTAAGACCCGACTCCTGATTTTAACCAAGATCTAATACTCTGTATCTAATAGATTTTACTCCACCTGATGCATTCACAAGACAAGATGTACCTGTTAAAATGCATCAATTGCTTCAGCATCAAAACAGAAGAAAATTTTATATATGTATGTATGTATGTATGTATGTATGTATGTATGTTATGTATATATATATATATATATATATATATATATATATATATAT